GCCGCGCCCCCCAGGGCTGACGAGTCTCTCGGCCTGCCGCAGTCGGATCTGCGGCCCGAAGTGGGCGGCGTCCCGCTGCACTCTCCCTGGACCTTCTGGCTGGACAGGTGAGGGCCGCGCCCCGCCGCTTTGTCTCGACCGCGTCCTCGCCCCACGCGCGCCGCTGCCGGGGGGGTCTCGCGCGGGCGCAAGCAGAGTTTCGCACGTCCCCGGATAGTATCCAGCCAACCTGGCCCAGAGTCGCGGCGAGCCGGGAGAGGCTGCCCCGCGTGTCCCCCGGGGCACTGGGCTTGCTGCGACCTTCTCGGCGACTGCAGTCAAAAGTCGTGCGGGAGGGGCTGGGACCTCGCTGCGGGCACCTGCGCCTCTGGCCCAGGCAGGGGGCGGTCTGGAGTGGTCAGGGACTTCAGTGATTCAGGACAGCTTTGTGAGGGACAGTTTTGTGGGGGACAGCTCAGGTGCCCTCGTCCCCGAGAGGCCTCAGCGGCATCCCTGTCTAAAATAGAAACTTCTCTTACTGTCCCGGGTCTCCATCCTACCTTGTTTTTCTTCACAGTGCTCAACGCCATCGCGTTCTTCCAGCGTGAAAATAAGTTCTTCCAACTTATTTTCAGTTTGTTTCCAGCCCTCCATTGCTTGCCCTGAGCGAGATGCACAGAGCAGGGGCAGACTTAATGTATGCAGAGTCCCGCACCTAGTACTGTGCCTGAGTGGTGGTAGGACACCTAGTCTTGGTGCATGGATAGATGCGTGGATATCCTGTCATCTTAACACCTGTCATCTGTGTGAGTAATGATAGCTCAAGTTGTTTCCAAAAGTGTGTGGGAAGTTTTGGTAAAAACTGTGTCTACCATGGTTTCAGAGTTAGGAGGAAATGTATGTGACAGTTTCCGGAGAGACTTCGTCTTACAGTCTACACTGATATTTTTTCAGTTTAGCACCAGATGCCAGCCAGTTTCTTTTTAAACGATACTGCTGTTTTTAAGTGAAAACATTTCTTTTACTGGTGGATTAGCACCTACCTCAAAGAATTGACACCTAGAGCCAATTGTTTTCCTGGGACCCTGAGAAGTTGGGGGTGGGGGTGAGTCTCGTTTGCAAAACATTTTCACTTTCATTCTGAGATTCCAGCATTTGACTGTCATAACAGGAGTGATTTTGGGGTTTAGCAGTCACTAGCAAAATGAAGTCATGTCTTTGTTTTCAAATGGGTCCTCTTACAGTACAGTTGTTACCTGGGCCTATGGTCCAAACTTCAGACTGGCTGACCAGGAGAAAGATGACCAGGATGGAGAGAACACCACCTTCAGTAGATTTAGTCCACTTAGAGTGGCATATTTTAGGACTATTCTAAGGTATCAATGCTGTATTCCCAAATGTGCTATACAAAAGCATCTAATGTCTTTTAACACAAGAATAGGTAGGCTGGTGGTGTATCTCGGTGGTGGGGCCATCACGAACCAGGCCCTGGGTTCAATTCCTAGCCCTGGGGCAGAGAATAGCCCTAAGAATAGGTAGCTCTAATAAAAGCACAAATTATGCCTTATATTGATTTGCACATTTTCCCCCTCTAAGAAGTCAATAAATGAAATGTGTTCTTTCTGTAGGTGCCTAAACCTTTAATAGAGACACCGTATTCATTTAGAAATTATAACTAGTTTCAACATTATGCCTGATCCATCATCTCATAATTTTTTATTGAACTTTATTTTACTTCTCTGAGACTCTATGTATTTATAGATGCTCCACCCACCCTCAGGGCTGTGAAAATCTCAAGTTCTAGAAGTTAGGATTTTCCCTCAGGGAAGTGACATTGCAGAGAGTGGGGTGAGAGCCCCGCAGGAAACCCAGCCTTCCCCCAGTCTGGAGATGCACAGCATCCAAAGGCCCTGCCACCTGGAGCTTTCTTCTGGCATCTACCTCTTAGCAAGTCCCACGATCACCTCGCCCAGGCTCACCTAGCTGCACTCCATTGTTGAGGGAGTACAGCTGCGGCATTTGTCACAGAGGGCTGTTGTGAGCCATGGTGTCTGACGTGGAGTAACAGCTTAGTAAGTGTCAACTGATGGGGCAGAGGCGCTAGCTGGGCTGGTAAGTTGCACAGGAGCTCCTGCATCCCCCTGCCGCTCCCCAGGCATAGCGGTGCAGCACTCACAAGTACTCATGCGGTGCTTATAGTCTCACGGGTACTCGTGCAGCACTGGGGAGGCAGGAACCAGTGGATCACTAGTGCTCACTGGCCAGCCAGACTATCCTCACTTGGTGTATGCTCCAGCCTAGTGAGAGACCCTGTCTGGAAAAGACCAAGGCAGACAGCATTACTGAGGAAAGACAGCTGAGGTTGACCCTTGGCCTCTGTATGCATATGCATGCATCACGGTCTGCAGAACAGCTGATATGAATTCAGTATTAGGAAGCCAACAGCCTACATTCATTTCCCCACTAGGCAAATTGGAGGACCCTTCAGAAGTTATATGCATGAAGTCCTTACTTGGTTGAAAACCAGTGGGCTGTGTAACTAACGATGTAAGCATGTGGGTCGGGACACCCGATGAAGAGACTTCTTCCCCTTCTGTCGGTGTTTAGATCCTCTGTCCCCTCTGTTCTTACCTTCACTCCCATTAGTGTTTCTGTGTGTTTCCTGGCCATTGTACGGAGACCTCCTTCCTCCTGTTTCTCAGAGGACCCAACCGTTGGGCCTGTCCTGCGCAGGGAGAGCTGCCGCCCAGGCACAAGGCAGGCTTGCAGCTTCTGCTGGAGCAGATGACAGAACACCACAGGTAGAGCCTGCAACCCGTCTCCACTTCCCGTGCACCATGCCACCTTCTCAGATGCCGAGGTCTTCTGAGCTTAGATATGAGCAGTTAACAGTTAATGCCATCTCTGTCCTTCCAGTTTCTCAGCCCCCAAATCCTGGAGGCATTTGTAACTATCCTTGCCCAGCACAGAAACTGAAGAGTAACTGGGAGACTATGCTCTTCAGCTCCCACTGAGCACTCTTACTGCCCTGCTGCCCTCCCTCCTGCCTCTGCCCTGCACTCCTTGGCTGCCTTGCTCTTTCTCCCATGTCCCAAGCATGGACCTTTGCTAGTGTTGCTGCTGCTCCTGCTGCCGTCGCTGTCTGGAATACCTTCCCAAGTCTGCTCTTGGTATCCTTCCAGTCTCTGCTCCCATGTCACCTTCTAGGTGAGACCTTCCCTGACCACTCATGTGGAAGGGTACACGTGCCTCCCCATGTGTGTCCCTGATGTGTTCCATTTTGTCTTTATAATCTTCACCATTGGCTGGTCTCTCTCTAGAATGTGAGCCTAAGAGGACATAGCTCTGATCCTGTTGCTCACTTCTCGGCTTCTAGATCTGGCATAGTCTTCACGATGGCATTGAATCTTACCGTAGCAACTGTGTTTTCCTATGGTGGCTCATTGCACTCTTTCACATCTGTGGGCAACCCTTAGTTCTCTTCTCAAGTCTAGACATGTACAGCCAAGAACCAGGAGGTCCACAGTCTGGATGCTCTCCTGATTACTCCAAATGGAGCTGATTTCTCTCCAGCGGCTTCCTCTTCTGCTCCCCTGTGTTGCTTCACATTCCCATCCTACTATCAGCATCTCAATGTTGTCTTCTGTCTGATCCTCAAATCTTCCTTTATAAGTACCTTGTTCTATCCATAGCTGTAATTTTGTAGTCTTAATGACCCTTAGCAGACTTACTAAAGTCTAAGATATCCTTCTCACTCTTTCTGCTGGCCCTGGTCATCTGTAGCTCCTGCCTAACCCTCTGGAGTGCTGGAATTTCAGGCATGAGCCACCACACCTGGCTTTAGACATGAGCCATATTTGCAAAAAAAAAAAAAAAAAAAAAAAACAAAAAACAAAAAAAAAAAACTTTATGGTACCAATTTGTGTTTTGCTGTTTTAAGTTCGAAACTCTCCTTTTGGCCTGGCCATCACCTTCTCCAATTCCAAAGTCCTGCCGTTTATTTCCCCCGCCTCCCAGTAACAGCAAACTTCTGGTGCTTGTCTTGCTAGGGACTTCACTGCTAGTGACCTTTGTCTCTTAGGCTCCAGCTGTTTGGGATGCAGGATGGCTCCTGGTCTGCCTAGAGGGCCCACCTGACACAGTGCTCCTGAGTCATGATGCTTACAGATTCGCTTACTCTTTGGTTCCTCCACAGCATTTCTTTCTAGGCAAGCATCTTATTATGGTTAGTTTATCTTTTGTCTCTTATTCTTGATGGTAAGATGCTAATATCTTCAGGTCTGTGACCAAAGGGAGTGCCTGGTACATAGCAGGTGTTTTATATTTGTGGACTTACATTGCTGTTGTTGTTATATTGTTATTATTACTGCTGTTGTTGTTGTTATGTGTATGAGCCTTTTACTTAATACATGTACATCTGTAGAGCACATGCATGTCTACTGCCCACAGGGGCCACAAGAGGTTAAAGCTGCGATGTGAGTGCTGGGACTCGAACCCAGGACCTCTGGAAGGACAGCCATTGCTCTTAACTACTGAGCCATCTCTTCAGCCCTGAACTTCCGTTTTGATCACAAACATGGACTACTATCTACATGTACCACCCTGTCCAGCTTAG